ATGAGAAAATGCATTAAAACAAATTTGTAATTAGGAAACTGGTTTCGAAACAAAGCATAGGGTCAATCGATGTCAGAATTTGATCGAAACATTCAATTTGTCTGTAATTTGTGATAGGCTCAGGCTTAGGCTTAGGCTTGGGCCAAGAAAATGAATGGCTTGAATCGATTCGCCGATTCAGAAAACTCTTGGGTAGAAATTTACAGCTGAATCTTCACAGCTAAATGCTCACAGCTAAATGTTCACAGCTGAATGTTCACAGCTGAATGCTCCCAGCTAAATGCTCACAGCTGAATGTTCCCTTTAACACCAAAAGTTCTTGATTACCATAATCTTTTCTCTAGTTTTCAGTTTATATCGAATTCTATTATAACGCGAAAAAACTTAAATAATCATTGCAATTCTCGAATTGAAGACCTTGATGAATGATTTCTCTTTTTCCCGCATAAAACAAGAAATGTCAATGGCATAAAATGATTGAAACACGATTGAGTGAACTCATTTCTTTCTCGATTAATTCATCCATCCTTGACACTTTTTTGGGTGTGTTGAGTCTCCATCTCCATCTCGAGGTCAGCCGTGTCAAGGCGAGTCGAGGAATCTATTTGAAATTAGGAGACAGACAATATTAGAATTATTGAATTGGAATAACAAGTTCAACTTTTTGATTGTGATTAAAAAATTGTCTTGTCTGGAAGAATTATCAGAGCTACAGCTTATCAATTATCAGAGCAGAAACGTCTTTTAAATGGAAACTGTACAAGATCGTTTACTCAACAAACTATCCGCAAATTCGTCGGACTTTTAAGAACTAAATTTGAGAGAAATTTTTGATATGTAATTTTTAAAATCTTTTCTGATTATAGCAAAACAGTCAACTGTCTGATTTCCATAAAAAGTGAACCGAGAAAGCTTTCATTTCAAGGGTAAACTGTTGTTGAAACTGTTGTTGAATGAATGTTGGTATTCTGATTTGGAAACGGTGTAATTTTATGGGTATTGTTCGTGGTTTTCTTTCTTTTACTTCTTTTCATGTCGATCACATTCACTCTACGATGTTTTCACTCTTCAGACAAGGAAAAGAAGAGAGTGGAATTGGTTAGGGGAAAATGGGGAATCAAGAAGAGTTAGCTAGAATCAAACAGAAAACAGGAAACAGAAAATCAAAAGAAATCAATTAGGCTTTTGATTAGGGTTATATAAATTAGATGAAGAATAAGAATGGGAAAACAGGTCAACAACTTTGCTCTAGATATAAAATAGAGATAAATTTGGGGAAAGAATCTATGAGAAAAATTTGGACATGGTGACGCGCAAACAAGATATACTGGCTCAGTCGCTGACCCTTCCTATCCCTTTACAGATTCCAAAAGGGAACCGCTATCTATCGGGGGCGTGTGCCAGACGACGAGCGATTACACCACCACATAAAGAACACTTTGTCAGTGATTTAGGGACTCGCGGATCGCAAAAGGGAACAGCTATCTATTGGGGACGTGTGCCAGACGACGAGCGATTACCTGGCCGCACAAAGAGCACCTTGTCAGTGATTTAGGGACTCTTGTTAATGTTTGACTCATCTTTTTTGTTTGTTCATCTTTATTTGACTTTGTGGCCTATAGTCAAATACTTTAAAACATTGGAACATTGAAAATTTGTGAATTCTCCTAGAATTCCCACAAAATCAAAATCGAAAACTCATCTAAACTCATCCCTAAACTGTCAGCAAATCATTCAAAAAAAAAGGAGAGAGAAATTTCCATACCGATGAAAGAAAGAGATGTAAACGACTGTCCCAATTTGTCAATTTGTCAAGAAACGACTCTACAATTGTCCATTCCCATTTTCCAAGAGAAAACTAGTATTTTTGTGGCATTTCTCCATCGGAATTCCCCCATTTTTGGGGTGTGTCATTTTGTCATTTTTTCCCTTTCTTATATTTAAAATTTGTCCTTTCTTTTTCAAACTCCGCCCTTTCTCACTCACCTTAAAAGCTTCGAGAAGCACTTTCAGAAGCATTAAGTACTTTTTTTTTGTTTGTCAAATTGTCAAATTTTCTTTAATCTATATTTTTTCGCTTATAGAATTGAATGATTTGAAATTTGAATGATTTGGATGATTTGAATGATTGAAATTTGAATGATTTGAATCATTTGAATGATTTGGATGATTTGTATGATTTGAATGATTGAAATTTGAATGATTTGAATCATTTGAATCATTTGGATGATTTGGATGATTTGAATGATTGAAATTTGAATGATTTGAATCATTTGAATGATTTGGATGATTTGTATGATTTGAATGATTGAAATTTGAATGATTTGAATCATTTGAATGATTTGGATGATTTGTATGATTTGAATGATTGAAATTTGAATGATTTGAATCATTTGAATGATTTGAATCATTTGAATCATTTGAAATTTGAATTATTTGGAATTTGAATCATTGGAATTTAAATGATTTGAAACATTTGAATCATTTGAAATTTGAATGATTTGAAATTTGAATCATTTCAAATTTGAATCATTTGAAAATTTGAATTATTTGAAATTTTAATCATTTCAAATTTGAATGATTGAAATTTGAATGATTTAAAATTTAAATGATTGAAATTTGAATCATTTCAAATTTGAATGATCTTCATCAAAGTGTTTTACGTTAAAAACAAGATCTATCTTTTTCTACACTTTGTGCTTAAAGATCAAATGAAATTGACTTCAAAAAAAGATGGAAATTGATCAATAAACACTTTATTTTCTTTTTATTTAGAGAAAATCATAGATTAATTCTTGAATGATTGTTATGTACGTTTCTTTTCCAGAACGGAAAAGAAATGAAAACATTTTCTGAAAAGTCTAATAGAAATTTTTGGAATTTTCTTTTAAAATGACTCTAAAACATTATGTTTAGACTTTAGGCTAAAAATCTGTAATCTGTAAAATCTGTAATCTGTATCTGTATCTGTATCTGTAATCTGTATCTGTATCTGTATCTGTAATCTGTATCTGTATCTGTAATCTGTATCTGTAAAATCTGTAAACGAATCCTTTCTAGCATTGAATTCTTTGCTTTTCAAGTCTTTACTGCAAAAAAAACTGAAGAATTCCTTGCGCTAGATGCGATTGGATGCGTTTCTATTTCCTCAAAGTATACCAGCTCAATTTGTTCTTTCGAGATATAAAAAGTGAGCTAAAAATGAGAACTCAATACTTTCACTCCAAAAATGAAGAAATTTCTTAAGAATCTTGAAAAATCCTTGAAATTTCGAGAATAATTGTAGGTGAACGAAAATCTCTCTCAATTTTCATCTATATTTCTTTTTAGCTTATAGATTTGAATCATTAAATTCTTCATGAAAGTGTTTTGACGTTAAAAACTAGAATTGTCTTATTCTAGAATTGTCTTCTTCTAGATTTGTCTTCTTCTAGATTTGTCTTATTCTAGAATTGTCTTCTTCTAGATTTGTCTTCTTCTAGAATTGTCTTCTTCTAGATTTGTCTTCTTCTAGACTTGCCTTCTTCTAGACTTTGTATGCAAATCTGTAAACGAATCTTTTCTAGCATTGAATTCTTTGTTTTTCAAGTCTACTGCAAAAAACTGAAGAATTCCTTGCGCTAAATAGAATGCGTTTCTATTTCCTCAAAATATACCAGCTCAATTTGACATTTCAAGATATAAAAAGTGAATTAAAAATGAAAACTCAATACTTTCACTTCAAAAATGAAGAAATTTCTCAAAGATTTCTCAAAAATATCTTGAAAAATCCTTGAAATTTAGAGAATAATTGTAGGTGAACGAATATAGGGAACGAAGAATTGTAGGGAACGAATAATTGTCGGTGAACGAATGAACGAATGAAGTAAGTGAACGAAAATCTCTCCAAATTCTCATCTTAAACTTCTTTTTCGAACATTTTTTCCACAAATTCCCTGCACTACTTGAGTTTTTTTTGATTCTTTTATTGGAATTTCAAGAATTCATTCACTTCATTCACAAAATTAAACTTTGATTTGCCTTTTTCACAAAAAGAATCTAATCTAAAAGAATTAGATCTTTATCAATCCAAAAATAACAACACTTTCAATTTATTGGGTTGGGGAGAATGAGTCGGCGCCCAACTTTAAAGGGACTTTTTGCACACATAAAGCCTTCTTTAAACATACGTTTGGTTTCATCAAAAGGATCCACTATTTCTCTACAAAATCACTTTTGAGAGATTCCACAAAGCTTTTCTTTCGTGAAGTTTATGAACTTCGAAACGCAGCTGGTTAAAATGGCAAAGAGTCCGACTCATCATTTGAACAGTTTCTTTCACATAAACCTTCTTTGGTGTTTATATAAAAAAGATAGAGCACATTGAATTACTTAAGTTGCCAAATTTGCAGGAAAATCCCAGCAATGGTTTTTTCTAGATCACAGTTTGTAGTTTTTGTGAAAAAATGGCTTTTTCTTGAGCGGAGGCGCTGTTTGAATTTTCTTTTAAATGTGATTTTGTAGAGAATTAGTTAACCATTCTACTCATATCAAACGCATATTATTTGACGAAGTCGAATAGAAGTTTTAGACATTTTTTTCATTTTCGGCGCCGACTCATTCTCCCCAACCCAATAAGTAAAGAGCAATTCAAGAACAATTCAAAGAATATAAAATTCAATAAATCTAAAGCCTTTTTATTACACAAAAAAAAGATATTCAACTATTTGGAAAAGAAATTTTCTCTGCTTAATCTGTGGAATAATTTTTTTCTTTTTCAATTTTTTCAATTTCGTTCAATTCTTAAATTATCAAGCTATCAACAAGCAATTCTTCAATTTCGTTCAATTCTTAACCTATCAATTTCTCTATATTAGATGACTGAAAAAGTGATGAATGAAGAAGCGAAAGCATTGCGACGAATCGCCTTCTACGGTGTCTCGATCTCAACAAGCGCCGTCTTGATCTCAGTCCTCATCGTTCCTTTATTCTATAATTATCTACAACAAACGCAAAGCAGAATGCAAGCTGAGGTAAGTGCAGAAGAAAGTTTGATCTAGATCTAGATCATAAAATAGTCTTGAGATTTTTGATAGTTTCTTTGATTTTGATCGTTTCTCAATCATTAACTTTCATTATTCAATAGTTATTCAATAACTAGCATCAATATTTTCAGCTAGACTTTTGCAAATCCCGTTCCTCGAACATTTGGAAAGAGTTGACGAGGACACAGGTTTGAGATTGATTTGATATTGATTTGATATTGATTTGATATTGATTTGAGAATGATTTGAGATTGATTTAGTATTGATTCGATATTGAAATTCTGAAAGATGGACGATTTAGGTACTAGCAAAAGTTTCTGGGGGCATGGTGAGAGATAAAAGATGGACGAGCAGTTCGGCGTGGGATGGACGATGGGAGAGACAAGCGCCGATGGGCGGTGGATGCTGTGGATGCGGCGTGTCACCACCCGGGCCACAGGTTTCTATTCGAATTTCGATTAGAAAATGAAGACAACCTTTGTAAATAGGCTCAATACTGTTTCTAGTGTCATTTTGAAGTTTGAGAAGTCTTTTTGGCCCTTTTAGACTCATCGTTAGGTTACTGCGATAAGTTGATACATTAAAACATTCAAAAATCTTATATAATCAATTTTGATTCATTAGATTCGTTAAAATTTTTAAAGTTTAAATTTTCAAAGACAAAACCATAAACTTTACAGCTAAGAGCTGACAATGAGATAAGAATTGTTTGCTTAAAAGAGTTCTACCATCCAACTACATCTATCCAAATCATTTTAGGGCCCACCTGGGCCAGATGGAGACGCTGGAGGAGATGGAAACCCTGGTAAGCACAAGAATTGGATTCTCAAGAATATTCAATGCTTTCAGGAGCTCCGGGACAGAATGGACCCGATGGACCTGCTGCCACTCCCGCACCATTGCATGATTGGTGCTTCGATTGTCCGGAGGGACCTGAAGGATCAGCTGGAAATCCTGGACCTAAAGGACCCAATGGACAGCCGGGAAGGGCTGGAGGTAAAAGATCTAGAAGAGAGATTTCTATGATTTTTCAGGTCCGGGAGCCCCTGGAAACGCTGGACCTCGTGGCCCACCCGGACCAGCTGGAGATGCTGGATTGGACGGAAGACCTGGAGGTAAGAGATCATCTAGAGATCATCTAGAGATCATCTATGCCTTTTTAGGTCGTGGAACACCAGGGCAACCAGGGAAATTATCGGAGATTCCTGGACCGAATGGACCACCGGGACCCCCAGGGCCACAGGGAGAACCTGGAGCTGATGGGGAATCGGGACAACCGGGACAAGATGGAGATGATGGAGAAGCTGGGCCAGAGGGAGAGGCTGGGAAACAAGGAGGAAATGGGCAACCGGGACGGGATGGAGATCGAGGAGCTGATGGAGAGAGTGGTCCGAGTGGAGCCTGTGATCATTGTCCACCGCCAAGGACAGCTCCTGGATATTAGTGGATATTTCGATTTGTGTAGCAATAAATATATTGGAAAGAAAAGAAGACAATTCGCAAAAAATCGAAAGAAATCAATTCAGGAATCGTTTAAAAATTTGAGCACAAAGTACAGAGAGGAAGATCGTTCTTTTGAGTTGTGCAAAGATTGTAAACGTATCTTTCTGGCGCACTCAAACTTGATTTTACTCTTAAAAACGATATCATTAGAGAATAAAGAATCTAATGGAATAGAAAGAATGCTATAAGTTTAAGCAGAAATCTGTAAACCAATGCGACCTTTTTTTTTGCGCACCTGGACATTTGCGTACCTTTTATTTTCGCTAGAAAAGGCCGTAGAGCTTCAAAAATCTTTTCATATAAGAAATTGTATGTGTAGATTCTGAATTTCAACAAATCAAAGCAAATCAAACCTCGCTAACACGCCAAAGAGCTAAAAGAGCTTGAGCTAAAATGCAAAAACTGCGAAAAAGCGTTAAGTTGCATAGTTTTTGCCTTTTAGCCCAAATTTGACATGTTAGCGAGGTCTAATTTGTTGAAATTCGGAATCTACGTATACGATTCCCTTATATGAAAAGATTTTTGAAGCTCTACGGCCTTTTCAAGGGAAGATAAAAGGTGGGAGTAGGCTACTTTCCGCCATTTTATTTGCGCAACAGGGTCATTTGCGCAAGTACGTTTGCGCAACAAGGGTCTTTTGCGCAACTTTATTTGCGCAACTTTAACACTGTATTAAGCACTCGAATTTTTAATCATTATTTTCATTTTTGAGCTTTTTTTTTTTTATTTTCTTCTATTTTTATGAAATCTTCCAATTTTTTTGCATAATCTTCCAATATTTATCTAAATTAGTCCTTTCTAAGAGCTAATAACCATTAGTAAAATATTTTATCGCTTTAACAAAAAAAGTGCAACCGATAACAATGAAAGTTAGGACAACAATAGCAATGAAATTTAGGACAACAATAAAAATCAAATTTTTTTAATATAAGTCAAAAGCTGAGAAAGATGGTGCACAAAATCGTTGTTAACTGTTCGTAAAGCGTAAAACGTAAAATCGTAAAACGTTGCTTTTGTCGAGCCAATACAGTTTTCTTCCGTGTGTAGTTTTGTCCAACAGTGAGATTGATAGCCGATGAAAGCTTGAAACGGTTGATTATTTGCGTCATTTCTTCGTAAAGTCTGACCGCAGTATACGATGGATGCGGATTCTTGGGAAAATGCGGAAAATTAGTTAACAATGGTTTTTAAGAATAAACAAAACCGTACTAGAATTTTAAACAACAAAAAAAAACGCCAAAAACTCCCTTAAAAAAACGTCCCTTAAAAACGTCAAAAAAGTTGCGCAAATGACCCTGTTGCGCAAATAAAAAGTTGCGCAAACGTACTTGCGCAAATGACCCTGTTGCGCAAATAAAATGGCGGAAAGTAGCCTACCCCAAAAGGTGCGCAAAAAAAAAAGATAGCATTTGTTCCCGTCAAAAACTTTTATAAATTTTTGCCCAATAATTTCCTTCGTAACTTTCATTACGCATTTCTTTTCTTCTTTAATTGAATATCTTCTTTTGATTGAATATCTTCTTTTGATTGAATATCTTCTTTTGATTGAATATCTCTTTCCTTTTCTTTCCTTTATTCCACAAGACTCCAATGCCCATTTCATAAAATAATCTTGAGATTTTGATTTGATCGTTTTTCAATCATTAGCTTTCGTTATTCAATATCTAGCATCAATATTTTCAGCTAGACTTTTGCAAATCCCGTTCCTCGAACATTTGGAAAGAGTTGACGCGGACACAGGTTTGATTTTTTTGATTTGATTTGGTTTGATTTTTTTGCCCAATAATTTCCTTCATAACTTTCTCAACGCATTTCTTTTCTTCTTTAATTGAATATCTTCTTTTGATTGAATATCTCTTTCCTTTTCTTTCCTTTATTCCACAAGACTCCAATGCCCATTTCCCCTCTGTCTCCTCACAAACAATCAGCTGGCATTTTCCCCCGTTTCTTTCCAAAAAAAAAGCTCTACATAAAAATAAAACATAACTTTGATAATCATTACCCATTGCTTTTTGACTTAATTCTTTTCTAAAACGTTTTTATTTTCAAACATTATCCTTGACTGTCAAATTGACTGTCATAAACCTTGACAGTCAATGCTAGCTCTAGCTTTTATCCTACTCTAGCTTTTATTCAGTCAATCTATTTCATTTGAATCAATAGTTTCATTTAAATAAACACCAACATTCCAATACTTTCTATAGTTGATAAATTTTAGAATTTGAGAGGTTTCAATCGGTTTTCTATCTAGATTCTCGCGTTCGTTTTTTTGAAATATGTGATGAGATGAAGGGTCGACGGGTTTTCTCGCTCTTACTTCTTTTTTCTTTGAGTATTTGTGAGTACTCGGATGAACAGGTGAAAGAGATATCATTCTTTTTATATTAAATTAAATCTACATATAATTTATGTTCTTTTGATTTCAAAAATTACTCAGAATTCAACGCTGCTTGATTCGGAGAGAAATGAAATGCTCGGAAGCGTCGAGGTGGGCAATTTTAAAGGGAAAACTATTGTACTAAATAATAAAATGCTAGGAATTCGATGATTTATCGTATGGTGAGCGCTTGACGAAGAAATTAGTGCGCTTTCTGCACGAGAATCCGGGTACGTTTTGAAGGGATTTATCTGTGAATTCATCAAATATAATGAAGGACATTGTGATCAAGATACAACTTGAGTTTAACTTAGTTTAACTTGAGTCTAACTTAGTTTAACTTAGGTTAACTTAGGTTAACTTGAGTCTAACTTAGTCTAACTTAGTTTAGCTTGAGTCTAACTTAGTCTAACTTAGGTTAACTTGAGTCTAACTTAGTCTAACTTGAGTCTAACTTAGTTTAACTTAGTCTAACTTAGGTTAACTTGAGTCTAACTTAGTCTAACTTGAGTCTAACTTAGTTTAACTTGAGTTTAACTCATCTAGCCAATCCCTTCAGTTCAGAGGTCAGCCTATTCTACTTCTTAATTTCAGAAGTCGAGAGTACATTGACTGATACGGGCATCAATCTGAACGAGAGTCGTCTCTGTAATTGCTCGGCAGGCTCCGATCAGTGCACTGAGGTGGAATTATGATTCAAATCAAATACCGTATAAACGATTCTTTTCAGTTGGAGCATCAAGTCGGCCCAGAGTACGCGAATATGTGCCTGGCGAGGGGTGAGAGCGCGTGCAGAGTCATCGTCTTTCATCACGCAAACACTAAATCGACGGCCGTCTATGAGTGAGTCAAGGAATTGAGTGTTTGTGATTGAACTGGCCAAGTTTGTGTGACGCTTTAGACTGGATTAGAGGAGCTCAGGCCAGATTAGAGACAAACCAGTTCAGGCTAGGCTTCAATAGAGACTGAACCTGGCTTGGCTAAACATTGATTTTTCGTGGAGGAAATCTATAAGCATTTCGGGGGAACGTTCACAGCCTTTTTGTGTAATGGTTAGTGCTTTCTCTGAAACGAAAGGTCAACTGAAGCCGGTTCGACACCGGCTTCAGGTTTCCTAGGTCTAAACCATTTTCCAAGCCAGATAACAAGTAGATCAAAATCATTTTCTAGGCCAATAAGTGAATGTGAGATCAGAAGCCAGATCTAGAATCTGGTTCAGTCAAAAGACAAGCATCGATCTTGACCTTGATCGGATTCAATAGTGAACTCAAAAAACTATCCATCATCTAATGACAAAGCTTGAATAAATCGAGCTTTGAGTTCAATTGTAAAGTCGATTGTAAATTCCAATCGAGCTTTTCCAGTTGTCACCGCATTTTCTACGCCGGCGTTTGCAACTTCAGCAACGCTCAAGGGGAACATCGGTTTGTTTTTATTTGTGAGAAAACGATTTATCAATGAAATTTAGCTGCTGTTACACTCCGCTTTGCACAAATGAAATCGACACAGCGGTAGGAAAATTCAGCAAATTCTTTTCTAATTCTAATTCTAATTCTAATTCTAATTCTAATCCTAATTCTAATTCTAATCCTAATTCTAATTCTAATTCTAATCCTAATTCTAATTCTAATTCTAATTCAAAATTTTCAGCCCCTCATCCAAGACAACACACCACAAGAGGTTGGATTTTGAAAATTTGACTTCTTCTTAAATTCAAAACTTCTCAAATCTGCTATTCAAAATACTATTATATATTCAAAATTTCTAGCGTTTACTCGTGAAATTGATCCTGATCGGTGTTGGGGTTTTGGTGGCAATTTGCCTGCTCGTTTTCGCCTACAAAATGTGGGATAGCTCTGATTTTCGGTGAGTTTGAAAGGAAAGAGTAAGAAAAGAGTAAGAAAAGATGGGTTTAAGATTTCTTTTTTTAAAATTTAAAACTAGATTAGCGTTTGATAGGCTAATTTTTATTTGATTTGTTCATTAAAAAAAAGCTAAATTGTAGTTGTGGCTTGAATTTGATCGGCTTTAATAGAGCTAAATTGAAGTGTGCTTTAGGATTGCGATTATAGAATTACAATTACAATTAGAAAATTGAGGACTACATACTCTTTAGCTTTAAAATCCTTAGAAAAGCATAGGCTTATTAGAAAATTGTATTCTTAAGTATTTCATCGATTAGAAAATTATATTCTTAAGTATTTTATCGATTAGAAAATTATATTCTCAAGTATTTTAGAATCCTTAGAAAAGTACAGGCTTATTCTCAAGTATTTCATCGATTAAATGCTGAGAATTGCTGTCAAAATTGTCACAATAAAACAAAAATGCGTTTGCAGAAACTACTTTCGCAAAGCGATCACACGCCCCGACAAAGTCGTGGACGAGATCGTGTTGGCGCATCGAGACGCTGATGAGCTCTCGGCGCCGAATGACGTGGGTTTTGTTGGCTAATTTCTCCAATTTTTTTCATCGACAATCATCGACAAAGATTTCTATAGTCATTTTTTAGCTTCAAGCTCTTTCTCGTGAGCATCAGATCCCGTTGATTGGTCGTCGCAATATGGCCTTCGAAAACAGTCAATCAACCACGAGAAACTCAACAACACCGGTAAAATTTTGTTACCGTAAATACTGTAATAGTACCCCACCCTCCTCGTACAGTCGCGTAGTCGCAAAAGTTTTTTAGTATTTCATTTTTTGCAAAGCACCCGTACTTTCAAAAAATGCGTCTTTAGTATCGAAAAATAGCTGAAATTCAGGGCTATTTTTTGATATCAAAAAACGGAGCATCACGTAGTCTAACTTTAAACGCATTTTTCTCGTCATCCTTTTATAATGACGGCCGGAGCATCGCGTAGGCCGGAGCATCGCGTAGGCCGGAGCATCGCGTAGGCCGGAGCATCGCGTAGGCCGGAGCATCGCGTAGGCCGGAGCATCGCGTAGGCCGGAGCATCGCGTAGGCCGGAGCATCGCGTAGGCCGGAGCATCGCGTAGGCCGGAGCATCGCGTAGGCCGGAGCATCGCGTAGGCCGGAGCATCGCGTAGGCCGGAGCATCGCGTAGGCCGGAGCATCGCGTAGGCCGGAGCATCGCGTAGGCCGGAGCATCGCGTAGGCCGGAGCATCGCGTAGGCCGGAGCATCGCGTAGGCCGGAGCATCGCGTAGGCCGGAGCATCGCGTAGGCCGGAGCATCGCGTAGGCCGGAGCATCGCGTAGCATTTGAACGAGTGAACGAGTTAGGTATCAAAAAATAGCTCTGAATTTCAGCTATTTTTTGATATTTAAACGCGCATTGTAGCATAAAACAGTGTCGAGAAAAACTCGTTCAAAGCTAGACTACGCAACACTCCGCATCGTCATTATGGGGGTGGGGTACTATTACAGTATTTACGGTAGGTAGAAAAATGAGAATAATTGAGGTTGAGGTTAGCCTTGGTTAGCCAAAAAACAAAACAAAACAAAAACCCTAAAAGAATGAAACGCAAATCTTTTCCAGGGCACTATGTCAACGTCGATCGGATCGCAAAGCAAAGAGCTCGTGAATCCTGGTTTGTTTTTGTTTTTACAATGAATTGCTATAATCTTCGATCGAATATCTATTTATATTGAATGAAAATCGATAATTCAGCTCTTCGTCAAATCTATGTCCCGATGCCAACATACACTCGAATGGAAGGGTTCATCGAGGAAGAAGAAATAAGCGAAGATCGAGATCAATCAACGCCGACACCGGGGAAAGGTTTCAAAAATGGAAAATTTCATTTTAGGCTTATTGTAGCTTTAAAAGGAAATTTGTTAAACATCAATTTATGAATTTAGAGTACAGAGTGCATTTAGAGTACAGAGTACAGAGTACATTTAGAGTGCAGAGTACAGAGTACATTTAGAGTACAGAGTACATTTAGAGTACACTCGTGTTTCCGCTGAGAATCCGAATATCGTTGTCACGTCGATGACGCCACAAGGTGGTAACCATTGAAAAGCTAAAATTGAAATATCGTAGAATATTGTTACTTTCTTAGAAAATGATATCTCGATTGGTACGGTGTTGACGAGTGATGGAGGCACTTTGTCCACATTGCTCAAAGATTTAGATCCCACCAATTCAGGAAGTGGATCCGGTGAGTGCATTTCTTTTGTTTCCTTTTGTATCGGATTAGCGTAGACCGCATTTTTGAGTACTATAGCGGATTTTTGAGTACTGTAACTTGACACTATTTAATGGATTCATTTTTTGTGCATCAAAAGCACAAACTAGCATTTTTCTATTGATTGAATGTGTTTCTAGAAGGAAATGGTTTCAGGATTACTAGAGAGACTTGTACAAGTACGAGTACAAAGCAGTGCAGTACAAGTACAAAGCAGCAGTACAAAGCATAAAGCAGAACAATTTCTTTCATTCTTTTAGGTCTTCCCCTTTTAATCCAACGAACAATCGCCCTTCAAATCAACATCATCAAAGATGTGGGAAGTGGACGATTTGGAGAGGTTTTTAGAAATGAAATGAAATTAGAAATGAAATTAAAAATGAAATGAAATTAGAAATGGAATGAAATGAAATTAGAAATGGAATTTGATTATAGAAATCGATCTAGTTATTTACTAATATTTTCAGGTGAAACTTGGCCAATGGCGGGGTGAGAATGTAGCCGTGAAAATCTTCTGTTCGAGGGATGAAAGCTCGTGGGCAAGGTGAGCCAATGATAAGACTGATAAGACTCTAACTGGGTTACTGTATCTTTCAGGAAATCTTTTGATTCAAAATTTATAATATTTTCAAAATCAAAACACCAGGCTGTTACCGGAAACTCGAAAAACCCAATCTTAAGCTTTCTTCGGCTAGATCTTCGGCTAGATCTTCGGCTAGATCTTCGGCTAGATCTTCGGCTAGATCTTCGGCTAGATCTTCGGCTAGATCTTCGGCTAGATCTTCGGCTAGATCTTCGGCTAGATCTTCGGCTAGAAACGTTCATTTTCCTTACAAATTATACCATTTTCTAGGAAATTCTTTCCTCTTTTCGTTGAAATTTGCTAGGCTTTTTAAAGAATTTTAAAAGCCGTTTTGGCCTGTAAAACTGCTGTAAAACTTTCCGACGGGAAGAGCACGAGAATGGCTTTAAATCTATAATTAATTTTAATTTTATAATTATTATTTATGAATAGAAAGAGGAAAAAAAATTCTTTATATCTCTATAATTATAAAAACTATAAAATCTTTATAATTTCTAAAGAAAATAAACGTTTTTAGCTGGAGGCAGGTTAGGATTCTGAGCTGGAGACAGCTTAGGATTCTGAACTGGAGGCAGCCCAGGATTCTGGACTGGAGGCAGGTTAGGATTCTGAGCTGGAGACAGCTTAGGATTCTGAACTGGAGGCAGCCCAGGATTCTGGACTGGAGACAGCTTAGGATTCTGAACTGGAGGCAGCCCAGGATTCTGAACTGGAGGCAGCCCAGGATTCTGGACTGGAGGCAGGTTAGGATTCTGAGCTGGAGACAGCTTAGGATTCTGAACTGGAGGCAGCCCAGGATTCTGGACTGGAGGCAGGTTAGGATTCTGAGCTGGAGACAGCTTAGGATTCTGAACTGGAGGCAGCCCAGGATTCTGAACTGGAGACAGGTTTTTCGAGTTTTCGGTAAGAGCATATAGGCTCAGATCATTGTAGTCTAAGTTTAGCCTACTGTAGTTTAGATTTTTTAGTTTTGCAGTAGTTGTAGATATTGTAGAAGGTAGTGGTTACTGTAGATGCTGTAATCACTGCTGATTCACGATAGAGTGAGCATGGAAGAGTGTTACAGCAATTCCTACAATGCTACAGCTTAGTTGGGTTTCTGTAGTAAAGGATTGTGTCCTTTGAGTTTTCGTTAACAGCATATAGGCTCAGATTCTTGTAGATTACTGTCAAAAAGTATGGAAATTGTTCAGAGAAGTCGAGATCTACAACACCAATTGGCTACGTCACGCGAACATTTTGCAGTATATTGCAAGCGATAAAAAAGGTTTAGAGATTTGAAAAGAGAAAGGATTAAGGAATAATTTGATTAAAGAAGATTATATTATTATTATTATTATTATATTATCATTATATTATAATATTATTATAATATTATTGTTATATTATTGTTATATTATTATTATATTATTATTATAATTAATTCTAATTAGTTATAGCAGTCTAATTAGTCTAATTAGTTATTTCGAGTTATAGTTTTCATATAAATTTTTCAATTTCCCTTTCCAGATACGGGCCTTCAAATGGAACTCTGGTTGATCACTGAATATCATCCGTTCGGATCGTTGTACGATTTCCTGGCTGAGAATGTGAGTTCGAACATAGTACATATAAAGATATATAAATAAAAATAGCAAATAAAACATAGTACATCCATGTAAGCGCTAGATTTTAGATTGGTCATTTTTCCATCAACTTTTAGGTGATCGATACCCGATTGGCCGTTCAATTGCTTCGCTCGTTCGCAAACGGAATGCAATTCCTGCACTCCGAGATTCCTGGACAATTTAGTGGGTTTCAAATACTGTAGCCAGATTACTGTGGCTGTGGCAGAGGGTTACTGTAGCTGAATTAATACACCTCATTTACTGTAGTATGGAGTCGACCTGCTTAACGAGTCCGGGCAAAATTTCCAGATAGTCTGCCTCGCTCTTCTATTTTTTTTACTATCCAAAGCTCCTTCGAGTATGAAACCCGGTTCCCCTGCAAGCCCTTATTCTAGACTTCATTTTGATACTAAACATGGCTAGGTTCTGTTTTGCCATTCTTTAGATTTCGATCATTTTAGATAAAAATTTTTCTTGACTCGTTAAGTTTATCGAGTCCGGCGAAAGATTGATCGAAATCTAAAGAATGGCAATACAGAACCTAGCCATGTTTAGTATCAAAATGAAGTCTAGAATAAGGGCTTGCAGGGGAACTGGGTTTCATACTCGAAGGAGCTTTGGATATTAAAAAAAATCGAAGAGCGAGGCAGACTGTCTGAAATTTTTTGCCCGGACTCGTTAAGCAAGTCTAGTACTGCTTATGCTTAGTATAGAATTACTATAGTTTGGGTAGCTGATGAAGCAGAGATGGGTTACTATAGCCGGGTCACTGTAGTTTCTTCCTAAAAGAACTTCAATAACCTCTTTTCAGACAAGCCAGCAATCGCGCATCGTGACATTAAAAGCAAGAATGTTCTCGTGAAAGCCGATAAGACTTGTGTGGTGGGTAAAGAAAGAAAGAATATTATCTAATATTCAATAATTAATAATAATTATCTAATATTCAATTCTATCTATAAATAAATATACTTTTGTTTTTCTTTAGATCGCTGATTTGGGTTTAGCGGTTCGGTACGAGAATGGGATATTGAACATTCCCGAGAATACCCGATGCGGGACTACGGTAGGTTTAGTCATCAAATAGAAATCAATTACAATAGAAAAAACAAAGATGAACATTTATAATGAACAAAAGAACTTGAATAAACAATAATCTAAGCAAATTGTGACTCCTGTCGATTTTTCGATCCTGATCGATCTTTCCAAAAAATCGAAATGAAATCTCGATTATTTATTTAATTATTTGTTATCTTATTCTTTCTTTATCTTTTTCTTTTATCTTTTTTATATCTTTTTTCAGCGTTACCTTGCCCCAGAGATCCTGATCGAAGAGAACATCTTCAGAAGTTTTGAGCCATTCAAGGTAAAATAAAATATTGATTTGAAAGTTAAAGTTAAAGAGAATTAGTTAAAGTTTAGTTAGTTAGTTCAAGTTTTAACTAGTTAAAGAGACCGAGTCCGTTTCCTGGAAATTAAATGAAAACTTTCGAGTTTACGGTAGTAATAGAGGTAGTAATCTACCTCTATTCCTACCTCTATTCCTACCTCTATTCCTACATCTATTCCTACATCTATTCCTACATCTATTCCTACATCTATTCCTACATCTATTACTACCGTAAACTCGAAAGTTTTCATTTAATTTCCATTTAATTAGCCCACTTTTTGTATCATTTACCTTGTATCATTATCAAAAATTCGCTGATAAATAATATAAATATAAAACTGACTGATTACGGCAAATAGCCTTAAATCGATACCTTTTAGAAAAAGCATCAGGGCTACGGTAATCAATTTTTTTGCAGATGGCCGACATGTACTCTTTCGGTTTGGTGATGTGGGAGATTCTAAGTCGAACGAAAACCGAGAATTGTGAGTTTTGTGTAAAAGGGATGCTTTTAAAAGTACCTGGCTATCTTTTAAAAGTTGTCTTTTCAAAAGTCGGGCTCAATTTCAGTTCAGTTCAATCGATTCAAAAGTCTTTTCTTTAGTTGACGCCTCTCCATTCGAAGAATCGATGCCTTATTGGGAGCACGTGCCTCGCGATCCGTCTTTTATGGAAATGAAAAAGGTGAGTGGTGGAAAAGCCGAATTTGAGTTTAAGTTCTAGAATTAGAGCTTAGAAATATGAAAATTTTCAAATTTTTCAAATTTTCAAAATTTTCAGGTGGTGGTAGACGAGGAAAAAAGGCCAGCACTCGACAAACGGTGGCGGCTTTCACAAGTCGGTTTATTCGAATGGAAACATTGAAACTTGATAAACCCGAAGCTCATAAGCTTTGAACGTTTTTCCCTTTGAAAAGCTGACTCTTTATTGAAGATTTTATTGATTTTTATTGTTCTTTATTGATTTTTATTGATTTTATATAGTAAATCCATGAATTTATAGAATTTTTACTAATAGAACTTTTGCAGTAATTTAGCTATACGATTTAGTTCGGCTTAGGCCAAAAAAATTGGCCAAAATTGGCCAGCTAGACCAAAATTGGCCAGCTAGGCCAAAAAAAATTGTATTCTATAAATTCGAAAACAAAATGGCCAGCTAGTCAGATGACAGAGAAGTTCTATTCGTAGAAATTCTATAAATTCATGAAGAAGCTCAACTAAGCTTTAAGCTCAACTACCATCAAAAAAAACTCAAAAAAGAAACCCATTTCCCAGGTGCATCAAGACGTGTGGAAAGTGATGGACGAGTGTTGGCGGCCGGTTCCCGGTCGTCGACTCACCGCGATGAACGTGCGCCTTAAATTGGATCGCCTCGCACAAAAGTACAACTTCGATTCGGTTTGAGGGCTTTTCCAAAAGAAAATATTTTCTGCTCTATTTCTGCTCTATTTTCGTTCTCTTTTAATTTACCTCCTCTTTCTCATCAACATCATGATTTCTCCCGTTTGCCCATAAAATGATCTTCTCATTGTGACCCTCTAAAGTTGAGGTAAAAAAAACTGAAAAGAAATGCGTAAATTCGAAACTGAAAAGCGGTCAAATTTTTTTTTTATTTTTTATTGTTTAGTCGAATGAATGCTCATTGATTTGTGTTGAGAAAAAGATTCTTTTTTCGACTTGGGTTACTGTAGCTTATTTGTAAGATAACAAAAATATTCAAGCTGACCTCATAGACTACAGTAAATCTACAGTAGCCCGCTACGTGCACTGAATATCCTGTGAAGTTTCACTGGGTTTGATTACTGTATGAGTATGTGGAAACACCAGCCAAACATTAGATACTTTTATTCAGCTACGGTAGTCTTGTTTATTACTAAAACTGTATTAACCAAAACAATCCATTATCTTTTATTATCCCGTAGCCAATGTCCGTATTAGTTTTGAGCGATTCGTACACACATATTCAAGAAATGCATAAACCCGGGTAAAAACTGTGTTTTGTTATTACAACCTGTACCTTTCTACCGTTTTTTTTTTTGTCACCGATCTCAAATTTTTCTTTTTTTTTAAAAACGAGCCCCATATTGATCTTTTTTTTGTTTGCTGTCATGGGAGAAATACTTGATAGATAAAGATTTTGAAAAGCTTCCACTCTTGAAACACAGTTTTTTTCTGCATTTTATTTATCACTCAATGCAATTCTCATTAAATCACAATTAATCACACAAAAGATAGACACGGCCTAGCAATGAAAAGACAATTTAGGAATAGAAACTATTTCTATGGTAATAAGTCGAGCGATGAGAAGTCAATCATTTTGAAGTAAACATATTAACTTACATTGTCTTCGATCCAATCAAACGGCATATTCATGTTTACCTTTTCCTTGTCAGCTTCGGACTAAAAATTATGATTTTTTTTATCCTATCATAAACAACTAACCTGTAACATCATGATCATAAAATTGTAATCCATTTCGACACCGCGAAGATACGTGGTGATCGTTTCGAAGCACTGCAACGTCTGGCCGAACACGTCTTTGCCTAAAAAGGTAAGCAATCCGTAAATACGCATTTTGATTTCTCGTTGCGCCTTGTAATCCTTCTGCTTCACGAGCTCCTCGAGGATTTTCGGGCGGTGCCATGATAAAGCTCCGAACTATGCCTCCTAAAATTGGTAAGATTACAAACACGAGTAATCAAGCACAAACCATATCGTTTTTTGGCGCTTGTTCGATCCCGTCGTGTGCCGCTATCGGACAGTACTTCAGCGTGCCAATGAAGCGGAGATTGGTGCGCTTCTTGCTAAAAAATACAATTAAAATACTAACACTTTCCAATTTGCCAAACAACAACGCAAGACTTACATCCGACAAATTTTCCCGTTCTTGACCACCAGATAGCGCTTTGCGATACCGAAGTCGAAGATGTAGATGACATCTTGCTTGTACTTTCCAACGGCGTAATTTTGAGCCTAAATCATTAAAAACTGGTTAGAAACATTATCTATATGTACCTTCACGTCACGATGCAGAAAACCGTCTGAGCGGAAATCCCGAAGAGCATTGCACGTTTGAATGCAGATTTGAAGAGACCTTGACTTGCTAAAATAAAAAGTATAATACTTTCAGTATCAGCCAAAGCTTACGTGAAATTTTCGTTGGTGCGAATGTCGAAAACGCTGAGCCCGAGCAATTCTGGGACGGCGAATTTAAACCTCACAGCCTGATCACGCGAGATCATCTTGATGAAGTGCTTCTGGCTAAAGAAACAAATTATAGACCAACATAACAACAGGTTCTATGAAATAATCTATTGAATAAACCGACTGGTCGCTCTCGAGATCTTGAAGTTCGAGCATGATGTCCACTTCGAATTGGAGACGCTCGAGTGATTTGATTCCGACAAAGCCGCCCTTGCCAAGAAGCTCCAAGATTTCGAACCTAAAAATAAAAAGTAAAGATTATTCATGAAGGCTTTGAGCTTGATCTTTGCTTAAATGCCACTATAAACACCAAAACATTAATGTACTCTATGCAGGCACAAACCCACAATCCAGGGTTTGTGATTTCTCCAGAAGCGAACATACCGATTTGGCCGTTTGTTGTTATCCTCGTATTTATGTTGTCGAGAAGCGCTTTTCTGTCCATCTTTTTTGCCGGTTTCTTCTCGTTTTTCTTTGTATCGGTGGCTGTATGTTCTTGACATGACGCGTACTCTTCTCGTCCTAAACAAAAAAAAAACACAAACGTATTCACATCTCAACTACCTCTTTTGACTTTCCTTTCTTCTTTTTCTGCTGTCGCCCCGAGTTGTTATCTTTTGCCGAGCCTTCTTTCTCCGAAGTCTCCGTTTCATTGCTGGTTCCTAAGCCAAAAAAATTATTTTAAATAGAGTTAGTCCGCAAATTGATCAAAATACTTAACTTTTTGGGTGGCTCGAGCTATTGGGCTTTCTTGTTGTTCTCCGGGTCATCTTTCACCACTTGCACCTTCCGATTCGTGCCTTAGTTTTAAAAAGGAAATATATTTACCAACTTTTAATGTTGTCAAGACAATGTACAAAATTTACTGGAACTAGATCCCCGCCAACTCGATTGTTCGCTTGCCGTTGTTGACGCAGGTCCTGCCCAAAAATTTCAGGCAAAAATTGCACCAAATGGCCTACGTTGGTTCGATTGGGCCTAAATTTCCATAGCATTTTGCCCATCTACGTTGGTTTGGGGCACTAAAACTTGCAGGCCTTTAGATTCAGAAATTCCATTCAAGTCCCGACTATTTCTCAAACTTTTCATAAAATCAGATTAGGCCTTTTATCTTAAAAACATCTTCAAAAGTTTTATCCTTCCCAAATGATTTGTGGCCCTAAAGAGGGCCGTTGGGTTGGGGTTTAGTTTGAATCATCGTTCAGCGCTTACGCACGCTCACCACGGATACGACGAGCAAGTTGGATGTCCTTCGGCATGATCGTCACTCGCTTGGCATGGATTGCACACAGATTGGTGTCTTCGAAGAGACCGACGAGGTACGATTCAGAAGCTTCTTGAAGGGCCATCACAGCAGACGATTGGAAGCGGAGGTCAGTCTTGAAATCCTGGGCGATTTCCCGGACGAGTCGTTGGAATGGAAGCTTGCGGATGAGAAGCTCAGTTGACTTTTGGTAGCGCCGGATTTCTCGGAGAGCGACAGTTCCTGGGCGGTAGCGATGAGGCTTCTTGACTCCTCCGGTTGCTGGGGCTGACTTGCGGGCAGCCTTGGTGGCCAACTGTTTGCGAGGCGCCTTTCCTCCAGTCGACGCTTTGCGGGCGGTTTGTTTGGTTCGAGCCATTTTGTTCGTTAGATGAAGAACGATGAAGAAATGAGCAAAAACCGCCACTTATAAGGGGCTTCCAAAAAGGGGCGGGGCTTGCCATCGGCAAGGGGGCTGGCGGAAAGGGGCGGGGTTTAGCTTGCCTCTGGCAATCTTCGCGGCATTTTACCTATAAATAGCTGCTTCGCATCCATTTTGATATAATTTCAGGGCGAAGTGCTGGTAATTTTTGTTGCACTAACTGTGAGAGAGAGCAAAGGTGAAAGAAATTGATAGGAAAAGCACGAAATGTTAAATGACTTGTTGCTCGTTTCTTGCTGATACGAGGTTGTCGTAGTAACACATTTCACAGATCTGAAATCGTTTTGTAATTTGGTTTTGGATAAATACTGAGGGTTGCTGATTGTAATTGTAACCGGTAATCGAACAGGATTAAATAGTTTTCGAAAAGGCATCAACTTGAGAAAGTTGTCATAGCCCGTGGTTTTATCCAATTTTTGGCAGATTCTCAGGGTTCACAAAAAATATTGAAAGTAGCTGGAGTACGGTGCTTTTCAAAAATTTAATCTGAGAAAACTAGCAAATCTGGAACTGCTTTTTCTAATAGAGTGACTGTAGCTGGTCACGAAAAGAAACAATGATCTATCTACTAGCCGCCTCTGTTATTTCGCAACTTCCCAAGCCCTATAAAATTTATTCAAAATAAAAAAAACTTGAGAAATCACAACAATTACCAGAAAGAGGTTTCCATGAAAATTCGAGTTGGCCATAATGCACATTTTGAGACCAAATTAGGGAATTTAAAGCTTTTGGAAAAAAAAATAAAAACTGAACATGACAATAACAAAAAAAAGAAAAACAACAATCTAAGTGATCGAAAAAGAAATATACTTGTTTATCCCTCGTATGATCCGACACCATTTTCGCCCATTTTTTGATCGTGCAATTTCTTGGCTAACTCGGGGCGTATTCTAAACGAGTGATTAGATTTTCTCAGTTTCACTTTTTTTCTATTGGGTTGGTGGAAAAGTCCTTTCGGATTTTTTGGGAGAGTACCTTAAATTTGTCCAATTTTGGCGTTTTATAACTCATCCTAAAGCTGAATTCAAGACGGATCGATTGGTAAAAACCGTTTTGAGATATCTCTTTTCTAAAAGTTTTTACAGCTATTTTAGTAAAGGGCGGCAGAGCCAAAAAATGGCTGTTTTCACGTTTCGTTAGTTTTCCGTGCAGAAACCTAGGCTAAAAACATGTGTTTGGTGATCAGCGTCAAAAATAACCCCTAGACACAAATTTTCAGAATCTTAGCAAAAATTTTTGAAAAATATTGTCACTGGTGGAAGTCGAACCAGCGACCCTCAGATCAATAGCCTTTCCGCCGCTTTTCTCGTTTTTCTCGTTTTCTCTTTTTTGTTTTTAAAAAAAGTTGTCCAGCCAAAGTTCGCACCAACAAAACAAAAAAAAACGAGAAAAACGAAGGAAAATCGCGAAAAAGCGGCGGAAAGGCTATTGATACTCTAGGTAAGGTACTCTCCCAAAAAATCCGAAAGGACTTTTCCACCAACCCAATACAATGTTCAATCTTATTCAAAAATCCGGTCTTTTTAGTCACAAAGGTTAATTTTAGAAGCATTGTTTACTTAAAAGTAAGGTTCTTTGACAATAACTCCTCCAGTTTTTGTAATAAATCCAAATCGCAACCAACTTGAGCTCTTTTGGCTGTTCCCAAGGAAATGAAGGATGACCGAAGTGGCCATTCTTTGCTGTCTCCTTGTAAATCGGCCGACGCAATTGGAGATCACTGACAAGAGACAAGTTTTTTGATAAATTCAGTTCGCAAACCGAATGATAATTCCTGGGCGGAGATCAAAGTTGTCACGGACGATCGTCAGCAATTCTTCCTCAGAAAGCGGCGATGTATTGTACGAGATGACGGTCACCGACAGTGGCTCCGCCATCCCAATTGCATACGACACCTAAAAAAACAAATATTATGCACGCTATTTTAAAATTGTATCAAATACTTTCAGACTTAATTGCCATACGATCTTTCGCTGACCTGAACTAAACAACGACGACAGACTCCGGCTTTCACAAGTGATTTAGCGACCCATCTGGCTCCATAAGCAGCCGAACGATCAACCTAAATTAGTAATTTGGTAAGCTTTTAATGAAAAAAAGCCGAACCTTTGTTGGGTCTTTTCCCGAGAAAGCTCCACCACCGTGCGCGCCCCATCCACCGTAACTAATACATAAAATTTAAAGAATAGCTAGAAACCTCACGTGTCAACAATGATTTTGCGTCCAGTCAATCCCGCATCACCCATTGGGCCGCCGACATGAAAAGTTCCGCAAGGATTCAAGTAGAATTTGGTCTAAGAAACAAAAATTTAATATCTATAAACTGTAATACTTGATCGTCAAGAAGCCGTTGTGGGATGACACAACGAATAACATGCTTCATCACATCTTCTCTCACTTGCTCAAGGCTCGAATCGTGCTAAAACAATAAAAATTAATTACAATTATTCGTTTTATTTTAACCCATCTTCATCTTAAACTCCTAGTTTAAAATCGATTAATGCTATAGATAAAGTTTGAAGTTTGAATTAATTAGAAGATGCGGTTTAGAAGCGACTACAAACCTTGTGTTGAGATGACATCACAACAGTATGCACTCTCACAGGAACACAGGCGCCACCATCAAACTCGTACTCTACCGTCACCTTAAAGCAAGTATCAAACACGTAAAAAAATGTGCATACTTGGCTTTTTGAGTCCGGAAGAGCCCAATCAAGAATGCCACTACGACGAAGCTGATGTAAACGAGCGACCAACTAAGAGATTTTTCAAAGAACAAATATTTTTATAGTACCTGGTGCGCTAAGAGAAGAGAAAGAGGCATCGCTTCTTCTGTTTCATCCGTCGCATACCCAAACATCAGACCCTGAAATTAATTTTAAACTCGAGACAGCTAAATGTTGCTGGCTGATAAGGCCAGATAAATTACTTAATATTTTCGCTGATTGCTTCTAGCTGATTTAACAACAATAATAATATTTAATTTAAGCATTGGTTAATTTATCATTTTAGAAAGCTCTACCTGATCACCGGCTCCGACATCTTCATCCGATTTGCCAACGTGAACACCGGCGGCTATTTCAGGTGCTTGTTGATCAAGAGCAACCAACAAGTTGCACGTTTTGTAGTCAAAACCTAAAATTGAGACATCAAGGCTTCGAACCGTCGTTCTAAACAAACCCTTTGACGAATCATCGAATCCAATTCGCTTGATGGCTTCTCGAACGATCGCCTGATAGTCGACGTGAGCTTTTGATGTGATTTCACCTGCCAACAACACCATCCCCGTCTTTGTAACCGATTCTAAAAATAATATGATTTGTTTAAAAAAGCTAAACTCAAATTCTTTAAAATAATCTGTATTACAGTTAGAATGCTATGAGCAAGTTGAAAATAGTTTTTAGTGCTATAATAGTTCAGGGGGAGGGGCAATGTACATTCGTCTCTGTTAAACCAGAGCGCACTACTTTTTGCTCCTAGGGTATTAATAGCGTAGATGCTTAATTTGGTATCTATCTAAGCTATAGTAACTGCTTTCTACCTATTTCAAGCAGTTATTGAGGTTTTAAGCCTCTTAATTCAGCCCGCATCTTTGAACCCAGTGGAAATAGAGCCCCTCTTAAAGGCTCGGCATAAAAGTTGTTCAAAATTACATAAAAGATGTTCAGAATGGCTTAAAAATGCTTCCAATAGATTCAGAACAATTAATTACCTTAGGAAAAGATTTTAAAACTAGTGGAGAGTTCGAAAAAATCGGTTACAAACTGCTCCGGAATAGCACCCAGTTTTTGATAAAACTAAGTCAAATTTCGAGTAACTTTCAATTTCTTTTCTTGTTCAAAACTTTAACAAAAATCACTCACCGCAAGCCACTTTAGCGTATGGATCCTGCTCGAGATGAGCGTCGAGAACCGTGTCCGAGATGATGTCACACATCTAAACATAAAAATATCATGGGAACAGACTTGATCAAAAGGCTTAACTTAAAGTTAAATTTTTATCCCTCAAATCCTATTGAAAAACGTATTTCGAAAGTTTTGAAGAATTCAATTCACAAAAAGCACTAACCTTATCAGGATGTCCCTCGGAGACCGATTCGGATGTGAAGAGGAAGCGTTGTTTCGCATCTAAAAATGAGACATTGCATAAGAATCCCTTAAAAACCCTTACCTCCACTCGGATTAATCCCTTTGCCGGCACTCCCGTCAATACCCGCCATCTATAAATAAATATTTAAAAGCTTAAGAAAAGAAAAATTAAGCAAGAGCACAAAATTTAACTCAAAAATAACATGTAGTAAATAGATTGCGAAAAAAGAATCCACGACGACCTAGTAAAAAGCGTAGTTTAGACGCAACAGAGCGAAAGAAGCTGGGGACGGGAAAAGGGGCCAACAGATGGGACTTTGGAATAAAAGAAGGGAGGATTTTGAGAGAAAAAGAGGGAAACGGGCGAGAGACGCTGGGAAAAACACGATGATGAGGGATTGGAGTAGGAAATCGGGGAACAACAAAGCTTTAGCTTAGAAAATCCCCGGTAACAATGAATATTTGGTACTAGAACTATGCTGAAAATGATATCACATTGCTGCTCGCATTTTCTAGCGAAAGTCTTATGACACAAGCAAATTGAACGTATCAAAGTGTAAGGAAATTGAAAGAAAGCGGCGTTGATGTGTAAATGACAACAAAATTCGGCAAAGATGAGAACCAACCCCTAGATCTGATCAAAATTGTGATAACCTTGGAATGAATTCGTCTCTTTTCGAGGCAAATATTTCGATGTCCATTCGATGCGATAACTTTTTGCGCAAATTCTTTGGGAAAAATTTACAATTGAGAAGAGACAGGAAAAAACGATGGAGGATGGCTACTTTGCGCCAATTTTTTTTTTGCACAACTCGTCATAACTTTCTTCTTAGTGGAACAATCTTTATGATTTTGGTGTCATTTTGTTGCACTTGTTGGGATCTACAAAATGACAACAAAGGCACAAAAATTTGCCCACTTAGAAGAAAGTTAGGGACTATGAAAATACCGCACCGCCATTTGCGCACAACAGACCCCGCCCACTAACTTCAAGCGCTAAAAGTTGCACCAAATGGCCTACATTGTTTCGATTGGGTCCAAATTTTTACAGCCTGTTGCGCTCGCATATGTCCATTGACTGTAAAAATTTCAGCTTAATAGCTTCACTACAAACGATTTTAGAGTGACTTAAATTTTTTGTGCGCAAAAGACGCAAAAAAAGACATCATTTTCGCGCAAAACAAACGATGGCTTCCCAATTGTTTGTAGTGAAGCTATTAAGCTGAAATTTTTACAGTCGATGGACATATGCGAGCGCAACAGGCTGTAAAAATTTGGACCCAATCGAAACAATGTAGGCCATTTGGTGCAATCTTTAGCGCTTGAAGTTAGTGGGCGGGGTCTGTTGTGCGCAAGAGACGTTTTTCCACGTGTGCACAAATGGCGGTGCGGTATTTTCATAGTCTCGAAAGTTATGACGAGTTGTGCAGAAAATTTGGTGTAAAGTAGCCACCCCCAAACGATGAGCAGAAGGATCGTTACACAAAAATGCAAGTAACAAAACTTTTCCAACATTTCCCCAGACATTTTTAAAAATTTACCCACTCAAATGATTTGCCAATTAGTGACTCTAATGAATAGGATAAGAGTTGGGTATTGGAGAAATCACACAATCAAAAAGCATGGATCAAAGCAGGTCATGGAAATGCAATGAGATTTAAGAAACAGTCAAAGTTTTTAAGTTTTTACCCACCCAACCGATTTTTGGCCGTTAACTGTTAATATTTAAGTTAATATACTTTCAAGCGGCAGCAGCTATTAATTTATTTCACTACTTTTTAACCGCTATTAGACTTTGGCTACTCTACGATTTTTGGGTATTTCGATGTTTATAACATCGAAACAGACTCCAAAAATGCTATTCGCTGTTTTAGAGTCGATCAAGTTTCTTCCCCATCAATGTGAGAGATCACCGCTCATTTGACGTCAAAAAGGACACCCCTCTCAGCAATGAGAGTCATCATTTCCTCCAAATATTTCTATCAATCAGTTTACTTTGATTTTGCCACTAGAAGACAGCTGATTGCTTATTCGATAAAAGTCTCAAATGAGGATATGCGCAATTTTAATGATTGCTTTCGTTTTGATGGCTTTCTCGGGAAAACTCGTTCAGGTGGGCAAATCGATTGAGTGTCGTTTCTCAAAAAAAAGAACTTTTACGCGATATTTTAGCACAAAAATGCATATTTTTTGAATTTTGTGCAATGTAGCAATGATTACGGTAACTTTCCAAATTACCCACTATTTGGAACACTACTGTAACCCCGAAAACGCGTTACTCGCACAGAAATCCTATTCTAGATTCCCCAAATTATTCTCAATAAAAACAATATTTTTCCAGGCTCTATGCACTGCAGACGAGTGTGAGCGGATTTCACACTGCTCGAAATGCGTTCTTCGTCTTTTTTGCTGGGAGGAGAAATGCTCGGGTGAAGATGATGAAGATGATGGGGATTTTGAATGAAAGCCAAGATTAATATTTGTACTTATTTATTGTCTTTCAAAGAAACGGGTTCTTTTTGCAAAACCAAATCATCTCAATTATTAGATCACCAGTGAAACTGTGCGTACCCTTCGTGTGCGCCGTAGGAAAAAGTGGCATCTGGCACACGGCGCGCGCAGATACTTCCACAGAGATCCCCGAAACTCGGTTTAATTACCCAAGGGTTAATTGCCTCGGGTTTTTCAACCGAGGCAATTAACCCTTGGGCTTTGGCTTCCTTATATCTTTATTGTGAATTTGAAGAAGCCAAAGCCATTTCCAGAGTCGTCTATCGTACCTGACTTAAAGGAATTGAAAATGGGAAGAGTTTTCGCTTATATATTAAAATAGAGGCAACTTTTATCGTTTTCTTCTGAATTTACATAATTTTGTGGTCTTGTCAAATATTAACCAACTAACAAAAGCTAACAAAAGCTAACAACTAACAGACCAGTTTTCTATTGCTTTAAGTCTTACTTTTGCCCGTTATATGTATGATATGTACAATTTTTTGTAACTTATCTATAAATATTTCTCATTGTTTATCACAAAACACGTGTTTACTATCAAAAGCGCTAGATAACAAGGCGAAAGCGGTTGCGTCGCGTTTTTCAAAAAAGAGAACCATTGCCAAGTTTTTCTCTCGCCGAAACCAAGCCAAAAAGATTTTCTTCTTTATTTATTCTCATCTGTAAATTCATTTCAATGAAGGAATTCCCGGTCGAAGCATTGCCCCTATTGCTGAAGCTGAATATCTTCGAGCTACTCTCTACAAATGAGAAAGTGCTGATCAGGGGGATCAATTCAGTGAGTGAAAATTAGGAAATGGAAATAAATCTATTCTTTTCATTCTTTTAATGATTTATTTCAATCTAAACTACAACCTTACAGCTAATTAAACTCACCAACAAGCTCTAGGATTACTGCTCAATCCAGCCTTCATTTTGTTCTATCTACTTTATTTCAAAGCTATAGCTTTAAACAATAGCACTAGGCTTTAAATAATAAAAATGTATTTGAGCTTTATTTGAGAAAAGGACGGGCACAGAAAATATTAAAAACTGTTGAAAAATGAAAATTTAGATTGATTGATTGATTGATTTGGATTGATTGATTCATTGATTTGGATTGATTGATTCATTGATTCGGATTGATTTGGATTGATTGATTGATTGATTTGGATTGATTGATTCATTGATTGATTGATTTGAATTGATTGATTGATTGATTTGGATTGATTGATTGATTGGTTAATTTTGATTGATTGATTTTGATTGATTATTTTAACTGAAATAGACTTTGACTTTAAACAATCAAAAAAAAACGTTCATAACATCAAATTCTAGGGCACAAAAGATTTGGTGAATAAAGTGGGTCTGTTGCCGCGAAAAATCGGCCAAGCACACCTCAGCGGCACGCAAAATCAGGTAAAAAATTGAATAAATTACTTAAAAATCATATTTGTTCACGGAAAAATGAGATTGATTTAAGATTGATTGCATTAATATTCTAAAATAGAGTCTAAAAATAGAGATTTTGTACTATTAAACCATGAAAATGTGAGGATTTCAGGTGAAAATCAGACTCTGGAACAGTCGCGATGGGCATTTCGCGATCTCGTTCAGTAGGAATACAGAAGGAACAGAAGAGAAAATCAAAATCACCCACTCGCAATTGTTTGGGTAAATTTCAAGAATCTTCATTCATTCATTGATGAGTTTTTTTTTTTTCTGCAGTGGAAACAAGGATTTTCTGATAGCTGAAGACTTTGACGAGAGATTTGTGATCTTTCAATTGACAAAAACGATTCGACCCCGTTTACTCCGAGTGCATACCTTCCCAATTGAAAACCCCTATCAAAATGTCACGGTTTGTTTTTGATCAAAAAAGTTTCGATTATCAAAATGATCGATTTTTGATCGATTATCGATTATTTTAGTTAAAAGTTAAATAAAAGAATATCTAGACTTAGTTCTAACCATTTTATTTTATTATATCTATTGCTTGTCAGTTTCAAATACCGTATTTTCTCTAATAATTGTGCTCTAGCCGGATTGATCGGGATAAGCAACTCACGAGAAAACCTCGGATCCATAGAGTAAATAAGCGAACAAACGAGGCCCCAAATCTCTAGCCGGATTGATCGGACAACAAACATTTAAAGCAAAACCACAACCTAGAAATAAAAAGATTCATTTAATTAATAGCTTTAACTATTTAAATGAATTTATTTTCTATATTTATTCATTCAAAAAGTCAAAAAAATTACCGATTTTCTCTATTCACCCTAAGCGTTGCCTAAATTCCTCGAAATCTCAAAAGCCGCTTATCAGAACCTATTGATGTGGGGTCGAAAAATGTAGCTGACGATGAGATCTAGTGGGGGATTTGAGTGTTGAGCTTCTGGGAAAACTTTGGCAGCTGTAAATAGTCATCAACACGGCTCAGACATCAACTCGGTGCACCACTATTAGAGAAAATACGGTAACAGATCCATTCCTTAGCCTCTGCAACGCTAAAATCCTTTAGCTAAGATCTTATTTAAATTAGGGATTCGGTTAAAACCGGTTTTGAAGTTTTTGAACAATTTTTTCTTCGAAGAGAAGAAGAGATGAGTTTCAATGAAATGCAAATACTTGCCAGTGAGAC